CCCTCCCTCCTCTCTCTCTCTCTCTCTCTCTCTCTCTCTCTTTCCCTCCCCCAATGATGCTTAATTTATTGTTAACTATCAAACAAATTGTGAAGTCTGTTTTTTTTGTGGCAGGAACGCTTGGAAGCAGCAAATGCCTTAAAAAGGCAGATGTGGGCTGAGGCACAGCTCGATAAACGACGTATGAGAGAAGAACACTACTCTAAGTCACAGGTATCCAATTTTACAGGGACCAAGGCAGAGGGAGTTTCGAACCATAATGGAGCAGAAGGTGGGCAAAGTCCTTTACCTCAGGTTGATAACAAAGGCGAGGAGTTTTTTTCTGCAACCAAGCAGGATCAATCCATTGATGCTCAAAATGTTCAAAGTTATCTTCATAATATGCTATCTGAAAAGAACCCAACAGGGCAAGAGCTCGCTGTTGGCCAAGATATTTCCCCATACCAACAGCAAGCATTTGCATTTGAGAAGTCTCGTGCCCAATTAAAAGCATATATTGGTCATAGAGCAGAGGAATTGTATGTCTATAGGTCTTTGCCTCTTGGTCAAGATCGCAGACGTAATCGGTACTGGCGATTTGTTACTTCTTCTGGGAGTGATCCTGGGTGTGGAAGGATATTTTTTGAGTCTCATGATGGTTGCTGGAGGATCATTGATACAGTTGAGGTGAGTATCATTCCTGGCTAGTTTAAATTTATAGCACTGGATGAGAATCTGTGCCTATATATATTTAAATCTTGATTTGTGAATTGCAGAGTATCTTGACTTGACAGCAATTCATTTCCAAGCCAATGTAAAAGATAACTTAATGAATGATGCTATTCGTGTTATCTACTTTGATTGCATGCTTTCTTTTCAAATTTCAAATGCTCCTATACCCTGCCTGTTATATGCATGCTTTTCACCACCTTAAAGTCCGATCATATTTTATGAACAACAATTACTGGAACTTTCAATCTAAATGCTTTTCGTTTAACATGTTCAAGCATTTTTATTCAGATATTTGGTTGGTGATGTTCTTCTCTGTGAACTCTGTTTCTTTTGTTTCAATCATTGTCACTACTATATGACATTCATAGTCTTCTATGTTATCTTGCTCATGTGGCATTGTTCCTCTTTTGTGATTCCCATCCAGGGATTTGATGCTCTTTTGGCTGCACTTGATATACGAGGTATTAGGGAATCCCATCTATATTCTATGTTGCAGAAAATAGAGAGCTCATTTAAAGAAGTCGCCAAGAGCAACTTGTATTCTATGAATCCTACAGAGGTGACTGCAATTGCCACGAAAATAGAATCCATTGATACTGCCTCTTGTTCTGTTCCCAAGGTGGAGGTTGATAGTCCTACCAGTGTGGTTTGGGACGATAGTTCTGATTTTTGGGAGCAGTCGAAATCATTTAAGATTGAGCTTGGGAGAACTGACTTGGAGAAATTCAATGTACTGATGAGATATGAAGATTATGAAAAATGGTTATGGACCGAGTGCTTTAATTCTTCTGTTGTGTGTGCCCTTAAATATGGGAAGAAAAGATGTACTGAGCTGCTCTACACTTGTGAATTTTGCCATAATTCATTCTTAGCCAAAGACAAGCATTGCTCTTGTTGCCATGGAACTTTCAAAAAGTTGGATACAAAATTTTCTCAGCATGTTGCTGACTGTGAAGAGAAGAGAAAGTTAGAGCTAAATTGGAAGCTTCGGCGTGCTTTTTCATCTCTTTCCTCTAGAGTGCGGCTGGTCAAGGCAGAATTAGCTTCTATTGAGGTGGCTTTTTTTTTTATTAATGTGAAATCTTTGCATTTTGCTTCCCTTAGACCTTAGTGGCAAGTTACGGTCGAAACATTATTTTGAGTCCTAGTTTCTAAAAGAGAATTTTTTTTTCCTTTCATATTTGCATCTGTTCTAATGGCACTTGTGATGAACATGTAGGTCTCAATACCTTCAGAAGCACTCAAGTCACATTGGACAGAGGCGTTTCGAAAATCTTGGGGTATCAATTTGCTTTCTTTGACAACTGCAGAGGAACTTTTTCAGGTTTGTGATATTGAGCCTTGCATTACTCGCAACACTAAAACTGAAAGAACTGATGCTTTAGCCTTCTCTATTATCGATTTAGAATGCTGAGGGTTTAGATGTTATCAGTTTTTTGTCTCTTAAAACACGTGTTGATCTGAATGTTTGTAAAGACAAATAAGTTATCTTCTCTCAAAAAAAATGTTTGTAGAGACAAGTTTTATGTGGAAACTGGGCAGGCAATTGTTTCACTTTGTTGCTCATTGCTGGTACTTTGTTCATTATCTGATGATATGCCACTTGTCATTTTAATAATTACTGGTTGTTGTTATTCACTTCACTTTGTTGGCTGTCTTGGTAGATGCTTAACCTTCTAGAGGCTGCTGTTGTGCGAGAGTGCTTATCTTCGAGTTATGAAACCACCAAGGATTTATTAGAATCAGCCAAGCTTGGATATCCCACAGATGAAACATCTTTACAACCAGGATCTGTTCCTTTGCTGCCATGGATTCCGCAAACCACGGCAGCCTTGGCACTACGGCTTATGGAGTTTGATGCTTCCATTGCCTACATGATGCAACAGAAGTCTCACCGAGACAGGGAATCTGAAGAATTTGTTGTGAGTAGCTCTATCTTGGGAAATTTTAAAGATAACTTACTTTCAAGAAATCAGCCCAAATTTTGATGAATGCTGTTTTTCATATGCATAAGATTATATGCGCTCTTTGGAGCATATCTCACATTCACCCCTCTACAAAACTCCATCTAGGGGTATGTGTAGTTTTAGGGATGCAACCTCCTTAACCTAGCGACGAACCTCAAGAGAGAGAGAGAGAGGGAGAGAGATCTTGTATGCAGAGTATGTTTGATTTTGGGGATGCAATCTCCTTAACCTAGGGACAAACCTCAAGAGATAGGGGGGGAGAGAGAGATATCATACACACTCTATAGGTGCTTTTTTAAAAATAACATCCTAAGATTGAATAGACTGTCCAAGTTAAAGACAATCGAATAAAGTGTTCAGGAACACAAAATTATCAGTACTTTTTCTTGATATAGTTTTCTTTTGCTGCTAAAGTGGATCTCAAAATTTCATATCAAGAAAATTCTCCTTAGTGTTTTTCATGAGGTAGTAGTTGTATGGTGTACGAGCTCTTTCCATATACTCGTATTCAACATAATTTTCTTTTGTGTCAAAACAATAGGGCATTGATTTAACATTAATGTGTGAGCAGTTTGGACAGTGGGGGGAATTTTGTGTTATTATGAGCCAAGTCTTTTTCATTTCCATGACAGTAGAGAAGATAATGGAATGTCTGGAAAACTGGATGGGGTCAAATCTCCGAAACCAAGCTCCATATACCTTCGAATACTATAATCAAATTCACTTCTTTCTTTCTTCTTCCAGAAGGTGCCCTCTCGTTTTGCTGTGGTGAGGAGCATACAGGAAGTAGACCCAATGGAGTCTCCAAACCAAGCACTGCACCCTAACCACGAAGACAACTGGACATCTGAGCCCAGGCCTCTCCGAGGCTCTGGCCGTGGCCGAGGTAGTGGCAGTGGCCGAGGGCGAGGCCGAGGCAGGGGTCGCTCCACACGTGGTGGAAGAGGGGCTGGTGGGTCCCGTGCAGAAGCTTCTGGAAGACTTGTAGGGAATGGAGAGCGGGCCCGACATGGGCGTGGAGGTCGCAAAGGCCGTGGTCGTGGCCGAGGGCGGGGGAGAGGCTTGATCAGGGCTAGGGTTAAGCCCATATTAGAGAGACGGATAGAGGAAGAGGAGGAGGGGAGGGAGGTCATTGACTCTAAGCAAAAGAGCGAGGAGTCTTCGAGTACAGGTGAGGAGTGGGTAGGAGAGGAGGCAACAGGTGAGATGATGAATTATGCCATGGAGAATGAGGGGGTTCGATCTGATGAGAGTAGTGAGGAAGAGGAGAATGAGCAGGAGAGTGAGGATGAGTTTGGGGATGGAGGACCTAAATATGGGGTTGGTGGTGATTATGATAGTAAGTCAGAGGAGGTGGATGGTGATGAGAGTGGAGACGAGGATGAGGAGAGGGATCAGAATGGAGAGGAAGAGGATGAGGAAGAGTCAGGATCAATATCTGAGTACAGTGATTAGAAGGGGGGGTTTTAGTATAAATATGACGGTGAGTGGTCACGTTCAATGTGGTTTTGTTTGGGGCGTCGGCACTTGGAAGCTATTGTCTAGTTCTTCAGATTGGTGGGAGCATTGTTGGGCTTTGGAGGGAGGATTAAGGGTGCAACCTCCAGGTTGTGGAGCTTTAGAGAGATTGCAGTGTGTGCGGAGATCGATAATTGTATGGTATATTTTGTAGTTAAGTTTTTCAAGCTAAAATATTATTTGTTATCTCATGTATTTTTGCTTTCAGTTTTGTGCTCCTTTCATTTGGTTTTCCTTTGGGAGATTAATCTTTACATTGTTCGTAAGTTTTTTGGGAGATGTATATTCTAAACAATAAAACATGGCATAAGTAACAGGACCAACTTGAGGAACACCAAGGAAAAGACCCTTGCCACTTTTGGATGCCATGTCACTTGGGAAATGATACGAGGGTTGCGGCATTTGCCGAACCCAGACCCAACCCAACCCAACCCAACCCATTGCCACCCCTAGTTGCTTTGGCTGCTCCAAAACCCATGTGATATTGGAGTGTTCATGAATCCAAAAAGCTAGGAAATTCTCTCAAGTTCGTTGTACTGAAAAAGAGAGATGGATTTGGAGCCCCAAACATGATCCATCGACTTTGATATTTCTACTCTAATTGGCCATGTCTTTGGTTGTTTGAGGACCCAAACACCTTGGATATCATTTTTAAACCCTCTGAAATGGATCATTAATAAAGAGGAAAACGAGTTTAGTGCCGTAAACGAGCTCCATTTCTACAAGTTTTCAAAATCTAATTTGGATTCTGAATCGATTAGATTGTGAGGATTTAAAACTTTGAAATCCATTTCCTTGTGATGATGAGCAAACTACATTCGTTTTTTGACAATTTTTGGGCCATCAAATTAAATACGAATAAGATAGATTTTAAGGTGACGACATAAGCTTGCTTTTGCTGCATCAACATGTTGACGGAAAGGACACGGACACTCACTAGGGGATATAGGTTTTGGTGCCTAGCCAACGCATATGTTCATACACGGACACTCACTGGGGGGTGGGAATGGGTTGGGCGTAGGTACACGGACCCAGCCCCAATAAGTCTAGGTTACACCTGGACTTGACGTGGACTCTGGCTTGACATGGACTTGGGTTGGGTCCAAGTCAATTAGAGTTGGACCTGGCCACCAGGTCTGATCGGGTCCGATTCTCTATGTTTTATTTTATATATCTGCTATGGTCGGGTCAAGTTGACCCCGATCCTATAGGATCCAACGGACCTAAATCTGGCTGTGGTAGAGTCAAGGTCATGTGGGCCTGGACCAGACCCGTTGGTTCCATTGTCTAGGTCTAGACCTGGACTTAGTTGGGTCATCCCCTTGGGCCCACGAGTCGCCCTGCCCTGCCCCGACCCATTTCCCTACTCTTAACATTGACACGTTTGTATATTAAGTATGATTGGGATGTTTGATAATTCATGTGTGATGGTTGATAATGCATGTTACTATTTAAATTTTAAATTTTTTTATAAATCGGTTTAAGGGAAATTATTACTAGTTAAATTTTAATTTTTTTTATAATCGGTTTAAGGGAATTTTAAGTATATAGTTTGAAAAAAATAAAAAAATTTATTTTAAAAAAAGGTGCAGTTTGTATAGAGCCGATGCTTTATACAATCAAATTAGGGCCCACCTTCAAATATTATTGAGAAACATGGTTTCATTACTGAAAATATTTGTGATTACCTTAAAATATATTTTTAACTTTAATTATAAAATTTAAAGCTTAAAAAATAGTGTAAATCAAGTAGATCTATAAAAACTTGAAAATCTTGAAAATTGACAGTATTAAAATGTGTTACAAGATGCACTATTTCCAAAACTTGAAATCTATTTTTTTTCTCATGTTCATACATCTTGATGTCCAGATGATCAACTTGAGAATATTTGAGCATCAAAACAACTACTTCTAGTGAAATTTTTGAGGTGGGATCTAATTTGATTGTTTAGAGCATCGGCTCTATATAAAATTTTTGCCTTAAAAAATATAAAACAGCCAAATTATCCCCATATTTTCTCAAGTGCTAGTTTGGTCATTTTAAAATTTATAAAATATTTGTTTATATCTTTTTCTTGTGTGCCCTATTGTGCAGTATAGATATACAAATTTTCATCTTAATTCGATTTGTAGAAAAAAAATCAAAATTCAAGTAATATAATACATTTTTAACTATTCAGTTGAGATATGATGGCTGGGACCCCTAAATTACTCTTTATTTTAGCCAAAAAGGCTCTGGCCCATGCCCCATTAGGCCCGGCTAGGAAAAAATAAAATAAACATAAAGATAGAAAAAGAGGGGAGGGGAGGGCAGGGCCTGGCCGAACAGTCCCTTAGGCTTGACCCTACCCTCGGGGTATGGTTGCTCGGCCCTAGGCCGGCCCTCGAGCCATATTTTGTGGCCTAGATACTAGTTTTTTAGGCTCGGGCTGACCAGGCCGGGCGGGCCCACCCGTTACCTTGCCACCCCTACCAAAGAGCTATATACCGTAATTAAATATTATATTGGGATCGTATAGTATGACACTATTTATCTTTGTTATAATAAAGTCACAATTACTCCTAGCTACTAGATATCAAATTGGATAGCATCGGACGTCGCATAGTTTGAGAATTTTTTCTAGAACTTTTAGGTCTAATGAATAACACAAAACCACCCGATTTGAAATTTGACCAACATCGATCATTGTGACCTCCTTGTATACTTTTCCCATTATATTAGTCAGGGCGATATCTCATTTTATCATGGAACATGAAACTAGTAACTAATTTGTAAGATATAGCAGGTTAATTTTGGATATAACATAATATGTACTACACCAATTTACGACGTCTACAAGAACCCTGCAATAATCGAACTCGATTTGCTTACTCCACATTGCTCAGGGCGCTTAAACAATCAAAGTAAGACGTACCTCTAAATCCAATTGGAAGATCTGGTTTTAGTATTGAAAACTCTTTATTGTTTGAAATTATTTTCTATCCCTAGTGGTGAATTTTCAAGATGTAAAAATAGTGCGGGTGAAGTAGATCTATAAACACTCAAAACTTTTGAAAATAGACAGTCCTTGATAATATGTTACAAGATGCACTATTTTTAATATATGAAATCCTTGTTTTTCATGGTTATATATTTCAAGATTGAGATGTTCAATTGGAAAATTTTATAACATTGAAACAACCTCTTCCAATAGGCTTTTCGGTTTTTCAGGTGCATCTTGCTTCTAAAGCATAATAATGACACTTTATATAAACTAGTTTTTTTTTAACTTCATTTCAAATATCAACCTAAAATTGCTGCGTGAGACTCTATGCAAACTCTTTATAAAGGGAAAATATCTCCATACCCCTCATTTTTAAGTTTTATATCTCACTCGACCCAAGGTTTCAAAACATATCTTGGGTCATAGAAATTCTAAATCTTGTATCTTTTAACCCCCTAACCTAACTTTATATATTTTAAACCTATTTGTTTACCCCAAACAAATATAATAAAGACATATCATTTCTAAACACCATCATTTGTCTCTTTTTACGTGAATTTTCCCTAAATCTCTCTCTCCATGACTTTTTCCAAACCCCTTCTCTCTCTCTCTTTCCCTATTTTCCCACACTCTCTCTCCATGGTTTATATTTCTTTATATATTTGATTGATTTATGTGGATTTTTTCTATTGATTGGTTGGATATTATTAGCATGGATGATTAACTGTATGTAGATTGTGCCTGTTTTTGGAACCAAAATGAGAGAGGGGCTTCGGGAAACATAGGGTAGAGAGAAAGAACAAGTGACCTCGAGAGACAAAGTGGGGGAAAATACAGAGAGAGAGAGAGAGAGAGAAGGGGTTTGGGAGAATCTCAAAGAAAAGAGAGAAAGAGAGAAATTTGAGGAGAATATATGTAACAATCCTAAACTTTAAAAAAAAAAAAATAAAATAAAATAAAAAAGAAACTTTTAATAAGTGATGGTCCATATGAGCATGATGGTCCTTAGGGACCATCACTACTTTCAAAAGCTTTTACCTTCATTTGGTTTAAGCTTTTGTTGACGTGGTTTTCAGGTATTAAAGGCGGTCAATTACGATACACCTCATACATGAGATGGAGGCGTTTTAAAGAAATTAAATAGGACAAAAGGTAAGACATTGTCTAACAACTCCTTTTTCGCTCTCCCTCTCACAAACACAGTGAGCTCCTATCTCTAGCCAAAATTTTTATCGGAAGCTCCCTCTCAAACATTTAGGTAAGTGGCATCATTATTTTAAAAAAAATCCGTTCTTTTTAAAAAATGAAATGAAATAATTACTTCTGCTCATTATCATGAATTTTAGGCGCGATAAATTTTATACGCAAGCGGCCTCATTATTTTAAAAAATAATCTTTTTAATAAAATTGTGATATTTTATCTATGTTAGAAATTTTAAATGCTGTAAATTCTTAGAAATAACTTTATTTATTTTTCTTGTCTATTGTTAGAAAATTTTAGATACTGTAAAATTATTAGAAATAAATATGATATTTCTGCTTTTAGTAAAATTGTGAGATTTCTTTCTACTGTTTTTGAATATTTAGACATTGTAAATTTCATGTGCAAAACTGCCTTATTATTTGAAAACTGATATTTTTGCAATTGATTATAGCATTGTATGTGAAATGTTTATTTGCGAATTGACATCCCATAAATTGTGATAATTCCGTATTCTTGAATTTCTATAAGAGTTTTTCTATACATATTAGATTGGCAATTATGCTAGAATGTCTTTACGTACTGTTACCTTTCTAAATATGAGCCCAAAATATTTGACTGGTTATTTTTGAAATGTTATTGAAAGTGACTGTTATTAATGATTTTAGTGAAATTCATATTAATAATTTCAGTGATATGTTGAGTACATGATATTGCTGCTTTTGAATGTTTAAATAGATTTATAAATACTTTAAGTATGCAAGTGGACTCATCCG